TTAAAAACCGCTCCCAAGTCCTCCTCGTCTTTCTTCACCCTCTCCAACTCCTCTTTGACAGTGGTAGTCTTGGCAATAACCTGCTCGAGCATCTCCTTGTTGGCGATGCACTCTTGAAGATCGCACTCGGCTACGCCCTCAGCCTTCTTCCTTTCCCACTTCAGCTTGAAGCCCTCGATCACCTCCATGAATCGTTGGGACATCTCCTTTCGGGCCTCACGGCTAGCTTGGCGGATTGCACCCTCGCGCTCGCGGATCAAACGGAGATTCTCTTCCCTCGCATATGCGGCCTCATGGTGAGCTCGCACCGCTTCAGCTTGAGCCTCGAAGATCTTATTGGCAGCAACCTTGAACTTCTCGCCCTTGTCAACTAGCTCGTTCTCGAGGTCGGTGATGTGAGCCTGCTGGCCTTTGAACTGCTTAAAGAGTTTAGTCTGGAGAGCGATCTGCGCATTCGCGGCCTCAAGATCGGACTTCAGCTTGCCGACTACCTCCCTCATCTCCTTGATCTCCTCCGGACGAGGGACATCCCGCAGCCTTTGCTCGAGCATAGAGCCGGTTTCCAGCCTCCGCAGCATGCGAGCATCAAGGACCAAAGTGTTAAGACAAACAACACTTAACCAAAAAAAATGTAAAGTAAAAGGTACATCGTTTACCTACCCTGGGCCGTCGCCATCTCCACGTAGAGCTCTCTCTCGGTCATTTTCTTGAGAGCTGGTAGTTGGCACCCAGCGGGCTTGAAGTGACGCCACATGGCCGCCATGCCCTCAGAATCATCTGTGATCCAGTGGAAAGGCCGACTACCCGTCGAGCCACCACTCCCGTTGGGCGCCGATGGGCGAGGCTCTGCAGCACGAATTCCCCCGTCGTCTCTCGGCCTCTTGAAGGCAGGCTGGGAAGAGTGCTCGGGCTCCTGATCATCAGCGGGCTGCTGGGTCTTACATGAGCTTACGGAGATCGCCCCCACTAATCTGGGAGGGGGGTAGGGTTGAGGGTTCATCATCTGCTCAACCTCCTCGTCACGGAGGTGAGGTGCGGAAGCAGCAGCTGAGGCCAGCGCGGCCTCAAGGGCCTCTTTCACGCTCATGGAACGAACCCTGGAGCTGCTGGGACCAGCCGGGGCCTTCCCGGCTCTTTGACGAAAAGTTGGCTTGCGAGACATGGCTGAATGTAAACTTGCTGAACTAGAAGAAGGCAAAATAGAACGGAGAGAAGAACTCCAGCTGCCAGCAAAACAAGTCATAGCACGTCACTTGACTGAAATCCAGCGCGCAAAAGTCGATATACTAACTCACCAAAAAATAGAGAGACTTACCGGGTGCAACAACCGGATCCGGGGGAGGTGATGAAAGGGCTCGTCGAACTTGTTCTCACGTGAACGTGCTCCAGACAACTTCCCCTCGCCTAAACAGCTCTAGCCGGTGCTCGATGTCGGGGTCTCTCGGCGCTCTGGATAGCTGACCTGATAAACAAAAAAAACCAACAAAGGTCAAAAAACCAGTCGAGCAAAATAAAGCAAGAACAACTAGCAATCATCCAGGCCTAGCTAAACAACCGCTGCCCGCAAATTTGGTTGGCAGTCGGGCAAAATCAAAGGCTCTGATGGACGCCTCGTTGACCCGGAATTTGAACCCGGTCTTCTGCCAGCCGGAGTCCTTCTCCGGGCTCTCCTCGATGAACCGCCGGTTCGACCTCGGGGACGCGTAGAAGGTCCCGTGACGCCTAGCGTTGTACTTAACCGAGAAAAATGCCCTCAGATCCGAGTATCAGAAGATAACGTTCTGCTCCCAGGCCCGCACGGCACATCCGATGATGGCCCGAACCAGATTCGGGCACATCTGCGGGAAAGCCAGCTGTAGGTCCGCCAGCACCTCAAGGACGAACCAGGGAATCAGGAAGAACAGCCCGCAGTCTCGAAAATACGTCGCGTACGCATAAATAAAACCCTGCTCCACGTTCGCCGGATCCACCGCTGGCGTCAGAACCGCCAGCTCCACCCCATCAGGGATGTCGCATTCTCGACGGAAGTCATCGAGGGCCATCTGGTCGATCTTGGAGGGATCCAGAATTACGGGGTTCCTCCTGGAACCTTCCCCTTTAACTTTTACGATCGTCGACATCAAAAAGAAGGAGGAAACGAAACCCAGCAAAATCAAAAGAAAAAGAGACGAAGATCGAGATTTTTGACAAAGAAACAAACGTGAAAACCTAGCAAACGATCTTCAGAAAACTTGTTTTCTCTCGAGTAAAAGCGACAATCGGAAGTTGCAGAAAACTAAAAGAGAAAGAGAGATGAAGGAGTTATCTTTAATTGACAGACGGAAGCGGTTAAAGAAGGAGTGGAGAGGGTAGACTTTATATCGAGGTAATTATTATCAACCTTGAAGATCGCAGAGAATCTGGCCATGCGCCAATCTCGACCGTTCGATCTCTCGATCTCAACCGTCGAATATTCGACCTTGATGATTTGACGCACTGCAGAGCTCGATCGATTGAGGCTGTCAGATCGACTTTCTCTCTGATATGATCCCGGCTAATGATCGAACCTTTCAAGCTAACCCACATACAACTTGGCGTGTGATGATGGAATGATCCGAATGGTGATGAGAGGTTGAACCAAATGAAGGGGGAAAGTGGGGAAAGAGTGAAGATGGATTGTAACAAGAGAGGTGAAAGGCTCTTGATACAAAACTACTAGTATACAAGGATATGACGCACCTAGGGTTCTAAGTAGTATTTCTCGAGGATATGACGCACCAAGAGAGATGATCTATTTTGCAAAGGAAATTTTATTCATAGATAGATGAAAACCCCAAAACAACTAACTCACGGTCTTAAGGAGAGAAGAGAGAGGAAGGAGATCGGACAACAAGAGAGCAATAAGTTAGTCTTGGGACAAACCCCCTTGACTAACCATGCATGACTCGGTTCAAAATCACACAAACTACAAGAAAAGAAACAACTAAAAACAAGAAAATGAACCTAGACACTTCCAAGCCACTGATGGTAGAAAGAAGTGGGCTTGGTACAAGGCTAAGCTTAATGGGCAATGACAATGTGGGAACACTTGCCTCGTTATAAACCTTAGTGAGAAAACCCAATGGGATAAAACTCACTAAGGGAAAAAGAGCACAAAATATCCCACAAACCCATTAGCTTAGTCCCCGGCTACAATGCAGACCAATGTGAAACGTGTAGCCTCATTAGTACTTGATTCATACTTAAACTGATTAAGTAGAACCTCTAAGGCATTTTGAAATGCCTTAGTCTTAGCTCGGGTCATTGGACCTCCTTGCACTTTAAGAACTTCTTCAACCTCCTTCTGGTCTTGATCTTGATTTCCAACGGCTACATGCTCATCTTCCAAGTTAGATGTCCCCATGCTCATATCACTCTCTCTCCATCTGGACCTTCCACGTCACCAAACTTTAGTGTGAATCTTCTTGAGGGATGCACCTTGCCTCGGGAAGCTCGACCACCGAAACAGAAAAGTAAATGACAATATTTACTCCGAATCCAAACCGTTCACCTGGACAAGATAGTGACAGATTTATCTCAACACGTCAAGTTATGGTCTCGAGGTTGATTCTCGACCACACGATCGACGAACTATTCACCTTTCCAAGATCTGAATCGTCGATCTCGAATGATTATCTGACTCCATGGCGTCAGCATAATCAAACACAATATCTTTCAAAAGTCACATCTTATTGTTGGAGCTGGATTTGGCACCTTAAATCCGGCCCACTCAAGCCCAACAGGCAGATCCAAATTAAGCCAAATTGACTGGGCTTTGACCCTACGGCCCATGCCCATTCAGCTCTCGACGATCCAATCCTGAACAACGAGACGTTCTGTTCGACGAGGTCGAGCTCCAGCTCGATCAAATCCCGAGAAACAAGGAAGGATCCGAGCCAAGTCAGAGCATATTCTCGCCAGTTCAAACGAGTCCGAAGATCGCGGAGGAAGTTGCTGCACGTGGCGAGATTTTTGGCTGAAACTACTGCACGTGGCCGAGATATGCGCTGGAATTCGAAGCTCGACAAGGCGAGCTATATAAAGGAAGGGAACGGCTTAGTTGAGGGGGATCTCTCTTCGGCTTGAACTTTTACACTTTTTACACCCGAAAACTCTGTAACTGCTCCCAGAGCTCCTCTCAGTTCATATTCTTCATCGAAATCTTTGTAACCGTTTCATTCAACCGATTAATACCAAATCCTTATTTCATTTAGTGCTTGCTTATATACTTAATCTGTTCGAGAGAATCTAGCCTTTAATTCTCCTAAATTCTTTCCTTACTAAAACACATAAATTTCTGAGTTTGGATTTCTGTATCCACAATGGGATATCCTTGAAAATTTCACTTACCATCTGTTATTTTTTAAATGATTTTTTTTCTCTTTTCTCAATTAACCAAAACAACATCGTTTAGTTTATTTTCTTTTTAACTCTCAATAATATAAAATGTTGTCATTTTGTATCTTTGTTACAACGAAGATTTTGACATGTATCCGAGTCATCTCCATTAATATATTTACAGAATTAACTAGCAGAAAATTGGTCAATATTATTTTTCATTATATAAAACTAATTCCGTATATAAATATTCAATTTTTTAAGATTTTGGGTACAAATTAGCACATCAAAAATGTTTAACATTTTCTTGGCTATACTCCTATGAATTTGGGTGCGAATTGGCCGTATTGGCCGTTTTGAAGAGAACTATTTAAATTTCTCTAGTCTCGATAATGTGAAGCTTCACGTTAGTTTCCCAAATCGGTGCTACGCTATTCGGACGTTACACTTTCCTTTCCTCTCAGTTTCTGACACGTTATAAGGCGCAGACCCAAGGAATTGGGCCCAATTGTATTATAGTCAACAATTGGGCTTAAGAATCGGAGAAAGAAGCTCAGCATTAAACGACGTAGCTTTGTCAAAACTTTATCCCGCCAAACAAATTTCAGGTGTGCGTTTTGTACTCTCTTCCAAAATTTGGTTGACCGACTCCCAAAAAACTCAAAATCCCCAAATTCCCAAAAATTGCACACAGAGCGCCAGAAACTTGATTTCAACTGAAAATAATCTCAGAAATGGCGCTTTTGCTCTGCCCTTTTTCTTCCCCCTCTCACCCTCACATTCTTCCTCCCATCCAATCTCGATCTCGATTTCACTCTTTTTATCTCTCTATCTCTTTCGTCACCTCTTCAATCCCCTGAACCATGACGGAGAATAAGATCTTTGTGAGGGTGACGAGAGCGGCGGCGAAAAGAAAGGCTATGGTCACGGAGGAGGAGCGAGTCAATAAGAAGAGAGTTGTGCTCGGCGAGCTTCCGAATGTGTCTAACGTCGCCGTCTCTGCCAATCTCAATCAGAAAAGAGAGATCCCGAAGCCCAGAAAGAGTCTCCGAGTTCCAGCGAAGCAGATAAAGATTGCTCCGGTGGCTTTGGCTGCCGCGGAATCAGGATCTGACATTGATGCTCGATCTGATGATCCCAAGATGTGTGGACCTTATGTCACCGACATCTACGAGTATCTCCGTGATATGGAGGTAATAATCTTTATCTTTATTAATCTTCTCGTATTTGGACTTAGAGATTGACTAGATTCAATTTAAGGCGTGTGTTTGATCTGAAGAGTTTCAATTTACGATTTTTTTCGAATATAGCGACAATTAGGTACTGATTGACGATTGTTATATAATTGTGGATTTGATCTTATGATAATCTAATTTGGTTTGGAAAAATTAGGGATCTGATGATAATTAATATGCGAGGCTGAAAGTTTATTGCTTTTTTGTTTTTGTGGAAATATTCAGGTGAAGCCAAAACAAAGACCTTTACCAGATTATATCGAAAAGGTTCAGAAAGATGTAACTCCAAGCATGAGAGGTGTTTTGGTTGATTGGTTAGTGGAAGTTGCTGAAGAGTACAAACTCATCTCTGAAACACTTTACCTCACTGTCTCTTACATCGATAGATTCTTGTCCTTAAAGCCTGTCAACAAGCAAAGGCTTCAGCTTGTGGGAGTTTCCGCGATGCTTATTGCTTCGTAAGCATCTCTGAGATCCTCCTTGTGTAATTATTCTCTCTTTGCTAGTCACTGTCTTGTCTGAAACTTATGGAAGTATTCTTTTTATGGCATGTAGGAAGTATGAAGAGATAAGTCCTCCTAAAGTTGAAGATTTTTGTTACATCACGGATAACACATTTACTAAACAAGATGTGGTGAAGATGGAGGCAGATATACTTCTCGCGCTTCAATTCGAATTGGGAAGGCCTACAATCAGTTCTTTTATCAGGTTAGTTTGTTATGACGGATGAAACAATGTGTTTTTGGTGATAATACTTACAGATTTCTATGGTTCATTGTTCTAACTTTGTGTGTTTTCGCCCTTCTTTTATGTGCAGACGGTTCACAAGGGTTGCTCAAGAAGATTTCAATGTAAGCTCAATATATTAGATTTGAAATCTGTTGTTTGTGTAACTTGTAGAGTGTCAATTTCTAAACCTTCTCTTTCCATGCCTTTGTTTCAGGTGCCACACTTGCAGCTAGAGCCTCTCTCTTGCTACTTATCAGAACTGAGTTTATTAGATTACAAAACTGTAAAGTTTGTGCCATCGATGTTGGCTGCTTCTGCTGTCTTTCTCGCTCGGTTCATCATCCGTCCCAAACAACATCCTTGGGTAAGCATTTTTGTCCACATAAATCTCACTCTCTTGTTAGGTAAAATGTTGAGTCAAGCCTTTTGAATGAGAAACTAATCATCTATGGTTGTGATGTAAAAACAGAACCAGATGCTAGAAGAGTACACAAAGTACAAAGCGGCTGATCTGCAAGTGTGTGTGGGAATCATACATGACTTGTATCTGAGCAGAAGAGGACCTGCCTTACAAGCTGTTAGAGATAAATACAAGCACCACAAGGTAGAATAATCATTACAATGATGAAAACACATAGCGAATTTAGCATTCTTGGTTAGTTAATGTTGCTCTTTTTTTTTTGTTACAGTTTCAGTGCGTTGCGACCATGCCTGTATCACCTGAGCTGCCGATTACCTTTTGGGAGGATGTTACCATTTGATCCGAGCCAAGTCTTTCTTTTTGCTGAGGTTCTGTTACCTTTTAGCAAAATGTAACTGAGTTCGATTTTATAAAACCAATCTCATTACAGACTCGTGGGTCATGTAGTATTATAGTATACAGATCAATAGCTGAAGCTGGTGTAGTAAGACCTATTGAAGTGAAGACGGCAATAAATGTGTGCTTATTATGATAAAGATGTGTGATGTAGTAATTTCAAATATTATGTTGTATACAAAAGTAGTACTGTATGTTTTTCTCAGAATAATGCAAAAACATTCAATGCAATATGATTTTATGTTATGTATATTTGTAAGATGAATTTATTTTGTTTAAGCCACCTTATGAGTGTTACTAAAACTCCAAAAGTCATTAGAAATCATTTACAGGATTAATTCATTGTTTGTAACTCTCTTGGTGAACTAAAAACCTCTTAAGGGGAAAGGATTTTAGATTACAAATTTGAAGACGGTGACATGACTAAACTAAACCGACCATGTATAATCTATTTAACTTGAAGTGCCTAAAACTGTGGAGTAACTTTCTTTTTGACAAAGCATAGTCCTATTTCAGAAAATCATCATCTTTGTTTACTTCTAAAAAATGTAATAGCTAAACCAGAATAGGAAACCTCACCATAAGTATTACCAAGAAGAATGAGTACTACTTCAAAATCTACCAAACATCAACTCTCTGGAAAGGAAACTCAATTTCCCAATTTTCGTTTTCCCATTTTGCTAAAGAATTCTAACAAATATCTCTGTTTGCTGTGTCTAAAGTGTATTGTAACAAATATATAAATCTGCAATTCCTCTCTACGGACATGGATGTAGTTTTTTTAAAAAAAATTGGTCAAACAGACGTAGATGTATATAGATACAATTCAAATCCATGATCATTCACATCATAAGTTATTGGGTTAAAGTGGACGCTGATATATTTTCAACTATATCAAAGACAGCCAAAATGGACACTAACAAATTTCTACCAAAAACCAATCAGCTTAGACCTTTATCCTTTTTCTCTTCTTACCCTTTTCTAAAGACCTTTATCCACAAAACACTAGAAAAACTATTATATTTCAATATTTTCATAGTAACTCTTCCTTTTTTTTATGATTATATATAGTTTTGACATTTATCTACGATATTGTAAAAGTTGAATTTCCGAAAATATTATCAATCTTTAAAAATATATAAAATATTTTAATTAATAAAATAATAAATAAGAAACATGTGTTTCATTTTAAATAAAAAACCTTAAAAAAAAACATATGTGTAGCCGAAAATCAATAGCCAACTTATATATATTTCAGTTCATGTAGTCCATGCGAATATGACTTTCCAATTTTACTACTTAACACTTAGTCAACCTTTGTAGTTAACCTTTCAGTTAAGTATTATTGTATATGCGATCAGTTAGCGAACCCTATTACTAAAAAAACGTTTTATGTTCTTAGTAAAATTTAAAAAACGTTCCAAGTCTAAACATTAGTGGGAATTACCTAACCTATTTTGTATCTATTTTTTTTTTTACTATTTCACACATTTGATGAATATGCTGATTTAGTATGTAAAGATCCAAAATATAATAAAAATATTTCGCTTCAAAAAAACTTTTGCACGAAGAAACAAAAAAAAAAAAAGCCATTCATACAAGTATCATAATATCTTGTCCTTAACTAAATCTAAGCGTATAAAATCCAAAACCTGAACATAAAAAAGCTTTCACTTTCATGGATATGATACAACAAACAGATCCAATTTATCGAGACAAAGATGGAAATAGAGAAAAAGAGAGTAGAAAATGAAACCCTAAACCTTTAACATCACAACACATACACAACTACAATCTCACATATTCATCTTCTGCTTCTTAATCTATTAGACCAATCACGATCATCCATGTCCCAGTCCCTATCCAAGTCTCTGTCCCTATCTCTATCCATATCTATGTCCCTGTCCTTGTCCCTATCTCAGTCTCTGTTCCTATCTCTGTTTCTGTCTCTGTCTCAAAAGTCAGGATCATAAGAATAATCCCTCTAACTTCTTTCGATGCATGAGCTTCTTGATCTAGAACGATAATCTTTTGAGCCATACCCATAATCATTTCTACTACCTTACCTCGATGGATAAATCGATAATTCAAAACCGAGCTGATCATCGTCTCTATAATCATGCCTTCTGCTTGTTCTTTTCTGATGCCATGATATGTTGTTGCTTCTGATGCTCCTATATGAAGGCGCTGCACCCCAAAGCCACTCGTTTACGTTTTCTGGTAAAGGAGCGTTGATTCCTGGGAACTCCAATGTCATTTTCATATGTTGCTCTGGAGGGGTTCCTTTCTCCAAGATTTTCCAGTCTTCACTCTTTATTTCCTCACGACTCTCCTCCTCTTCCTCTTCTCCAAATATAGTGATTCCAGACAAATGATCATCTTTTGGAGCTAGAGACATGAAGAAGCAGACACAATACAAGGCGTGAGAATCCACTTATCTCACGTGGAAGATAATATAACAGAGCAGAAAAGCTTACCTAAGTAACACGGAGGGTATCCAATCTCTCGCATCCTGTTGATAATCTGGAAATAGAACCAAAGGTTTCATAAAACACCCAGGTAGGATTCAAGCAGCAAGAAAAGCAAAATTCATAAGAGCTGAAGTATTGTGAAAGGAGGTTGCATCCACTTCAAGCCAAACCACCGAAAATGAGGTATGATTAGGAATGTATTAGTCTAAAAAATCGATTAAAGACTATGGTCTTCTAAAAATGACTCACTGACAAGGGAATCTTTCTCCTTTCCATGGGCAACAACGGGTTCGAGAATCCAATGACAGAGCACCACAAACATTGCCTGAAACAACAACCATTCATGTTTTTTAAGTCTTTCTCGCTAAATATTTTGTCCCCATAGATTAAATTTTGTGAAAGTTTATCTTTAAAGAGTGATTGTTGGGAGGCGAAATTGCAGACCTTCATCATCGGAGATCACCTTCCGTGGACAGTTGTTCTGCAACTCCGCTCTTCTAAAAACCCAATATCCTTCCTGCAAATTTCAATCTATATCTTAAGGAATTACTGAATCGAGCGAGAAAGACAAAACAGGGGTATACAATTTTTAGATATACAGATGTTACCAAAAATTAATCACCTAATTGTAGAAATTCTCAACGAAAATAACAATTCCGCGAGTTGTAGAAGAGCGAGGAACAGATGAAACCCAGATATTGACATTCTTGTCGGAGAAAGAACGAATCTTTCAACCAGATTATGCTCCGTGTGATGGTGTCATCGGGGATCGATCCATCTCTGCTTGTCATCTCCTCCTCCTTAATCTCTCTGGATTTTGGAGTATCGATTATTTATATACATAGTTTTTAGATTTCAATTAAAGAAGTTTTTCATTGGAAAGAGAAGGATATTATATTTTGGAAGAGCAGGAGAAACTACTTTTGGTTTGACTAAACTGATTCCAAGAAGTTATACATATATTATGTATCTAACGATGAATTTTATTTTATGTTTTTTAATTTTTTTTGCAGTAGTGATGTGTCAAAGAGAGAGATGCTTTCTTGTGAGACACAACTTACTCTATATTATATAGATTTGGATGGTTGATTACGATTTCAAGGAATTAGATAAAAACAAAAGAATTTGGGTGGGTAAAATTTAGATGGAGGGATTTTCGGTTAAACCGTTCCGGTTCAGTTTCTAAATCATTGCTTTTTAATTAATTTAGAGGGGTAAAATAAATAAATAAATAAGAGAAAATAGCCGCCTAAATAAATCGGGATGATAATGCAAAAAACCCCAAATTATTTGGATGGTCAAATCCCTAAATTTTCGAAAGCAATTCAGAGAAAGCGCCATGACCTAAAAAAACTCAAAAACACACTCACAAATTTTCAAAATGGCGCTTCCACACTTCCCATTTCTTCTACATTTATATCTTCCATCGAATCTGTCTCTTCTCCAATCTCAATCTCCGTCTATCTTCTCAATTTACCACTGAAAATCTCATGGCGGAGAATCAGAACTGCGCGAGGATGACGAGGGCGGCGACGAAACGAAAGGCGTCCATGGCGTTTGCAACGGTGGATGAAGACCCAACAGTTAGCAAGAAGAGAGTTGTTCTCGGTGAGCTTCCGAATATGTCCAATGTCGCTGTTCAACTGAAACCCAATCGGGAAAGAGAGATCCTGAAGCCTAGTAAATCAACTGTCTTCGCCGGGAAGAAGCAGAAGAAGAAAGCTCCAATGCATCCTGTGGCGGTTCTTCCACCGAGCGTAGATTTCGAATCGAGATCTGTTGATCCTCAGATGTGTGGACCTTATGTGACCGACATCTCTGCGTATCTTCGTGAAATGGAGGTAAAAACATCTCTTGAATCTCGATTTACTTATTCCCAAAACCAACATTGGCCCTTTCTTGTGGTGGTTTTGATTATTATCGATTTGGATATTTGCGATGGATTCAATTTTATGTCAGTTGAAAATTGGTACTGTGTTTCGACTCAACATTGAGTAGCTGCAATGTCAATTTGATCTTATGGTTGCACAATGATTATTATCGATTTGCTATGAAATGTTGAAAAGAGTTGGATTCAGTTTATGTCATTTCTAAATTGGTACTGTGTTTGAACTTTAACATTGAGACTAGTTGCAATGTGGATTTGATTTTGAAGTTTCTAAGATTCTTTCAATCACAGCTTAGAGATGATCTGATTAACTTAGAGACTGATGATTAGGTTTGGTAGGTGTCTATGTGAGGCTGAAAGATTTTTTTTGTTTGTTTGTTTTGGATTGGTAAAATTCAGGGGAAGCCGAAGCAAAGACCTCTACATGATTATATTGAAAAGGTTCAGAGTGATCTAACGCCGAACATGAGAGGGGTTTTAGTGGACTGGTTAGTGGAGGTCGCCGAGGAATACAAACTCGTCTCCGACACACTTTATCTCACTGTCTCTTATGTCGATAGATTTTTGTCTGCAAATCCTATTAACAGGCAAAGGCTTCAGCTTGTGGGAGTTTCTGCAATGCTTATTGCGTCGTAAGCATCTTATTCCTCTTTGCTTATACGGTGTTTTCTTGAAGCTCCTTTTACACGGTTGGCTGATGGAATCTTTATTTTGCTTTCAAAAAAGTAGGAAATACGAAGAGATAAGTCCTCCTAAAGTGGAAGATTTTGTTTACATCACTGATAATACGTTTACGAAACAAGATGTGGTTTCGATGGAGGCAGATATACTTCTTGCTCTACAGTTTGAATTAGGAAGTCCAACTATCAAAACATTCCTAAGGTTCGATTGCAATGTAACAGTCTAATGTTTATACTTATGATTGTCTGGTTTTCCTGTGCTCATTTTGATTGATTTGTACTTTTTATGTTGGGTTTATTCAGACGGTTCACAAGAGTTGCTCAAGAAGATTTCAATGTAAGCACAAACAGAACTTCCTTTTATATGGATTTGAGTTGTGGTATTTGCATCTTATATAGTGTTAATGGTTAAATCTTCTCTGCAGGAGTCACTATTGCAGATAGAGTTTCTCTGTTGCTATCTATCAGAACTGAGTCTGTTAGATTATAGCTGTGTGAAGTTTTTGCCATCACTTTTAGCTGCTTCTGCCGTCTTTCTCGCACGATTCATTATCCGTCCAAAACAATATCCTTGGGTAAGCAATTAGAGCCAAGACTCTTGTCTTTTACAGAAACTACTTGTGTTATAAATTCATAATCTAAATCTCTTTTGGTTATGTAAACAGAATCAAATGTTAGAAGAATACACAAAGTACAAAGCAGCGGATCTGCAACAAAGTGTGGGTATCATACATGACTTATATCTAAGCAGAAGAGGACACGGTCTAGAAGCTGTGAGAAATAAATACAAGCAACATAAGGTAAAAATCAACATTACAATGATATTATAATATTAACTTAGTAACATGTTACAACATTTGTAGATGGTTAATATTTGACTCTCTTGGTTACAGTTCAAGTGCGTTGCGACCACGCCTGTTTCACCTGAGCTACCTCTTGCCTTCTTTGAGGATGTTACCATTAGAGAAAAGGCTTAAATTGAGATTGAAGCTTATGTGTTTGAAATGTTAGTCTCTGAAATTTGGGCTTGTATATAACTGTTCTTTAGAGTGGCAGTTTAGTATTGAAAAAAACAATTTTTAACTTATGATCGTTCAAAGATTTTGCTAACATTAGTTTAAGAAATTCCTTTTTTTTTTTGCTTGGTCATTTGTTCAATGGCGATGTTGTTTCCTGCTTTTTATTTATGTAAAAGCCCCTTTAGATCATATTGTAATATCGCTTTACTTGCACATCCTCTTAAAAACAAAACAAAAAAGTACAACATAAGAGTTGAGATGTCACATTCTGCGAAAGCTATACTAAATAACTCTTATCACCACTTTGGGCGTATGTATAGAGGATGAAGTTTGTTTACCGTATCTTCAAATGTAGCTTGAGGACAGTTATTTTTGTGCAGCTAGCTATTGGAGACAGTCACTCTTTTGGGGAGTTCTATGGAAGTAGATGAAGAAGACCAAGGAGAAGTAAGAAAGTTGCTGTGTGAAATGAGGTAGACTATAAACGCAGCATAAGCTGTTGTCCAGACGCAGACGGTGACTCCAAACATAAACCCATCAACTTCTGATACAAAGAAATCCAACAGAAGATACCCATTGATGATCATTACAAGTGCAGCCACAGTCCAAGCTATTCTCTGCAAAGATAAAAATCCAAAACCTTTAGCTCTCCATGACACTTTCATCACTCATCCTGCTTCTATATTACAGTTCAAAATTTTTAATAGTTACTAAGACGATTGCATAAACTAGAAGCACACACTAATTCACCTATTGTACCCATACCGAGTGAAAAAAAAAATCAGAGCTTTTAGTAAAAGAACTTGAAACTAACCTGGAGAATAGGTCCAATCTTGAAATCTCCCATGACTTCTTCTTTAGATACCAAAGTTAGAAGAGGGAGAAGAGCAAAAGGAATCTGTACAGACTGAAGCACATTAAGCCACTCATTCAAAACATCCAAGGAAGCTTCAGAGGTGTTGAACACGATTGCGACAATCATGGTCGGTACAATAGCACAGCTTCTTGTTATCACTGCTCTCATCCATTTCTTAAGCCGGAGGTTCAGAAACCCGCCCATTATAAACTGTCCTGCGTATGTACCGGTGATCGTACTGCTTTGTCCGGCTGCTAACAACCCGATCCCCCAGATATAGAGGATCGGGAGAAGCCCGCCACCAAACTTCTCCTGAAGATACTGACCAGCGTTAACTAGGCCAATGTTATTAGCTTTCTCGGTTCCGTGAAACCCTTTTGCAAAGACAGTAGTCACAAACAAGTTGATCATGAAAGAGATGAAAAGCGCGACCGATGACTCGATCAGATAGTAGTTCAGTGCCTCTTGAACACGAGATTTCTTCTTTGGATCGATTTTCCTCGACTGTACAAGAGCCGAATGTAAGAACACGTTGTGCGGCATTATGACACAGCCAACAACACCTACAGCTTGCCTAATTGTCTTTGAGCTAAGTCTTGGAAGTAAAATACCTATCATGAGTATAAAGGTTTGAGTTTTTAGCATTAGAGAGAGTCTAACATTGGAGAAAAAAGAAGTACAAATGGTTCTCTGCTTTACCTATCATAAGTTCTTTTCCACTTGGCTTGGTTTCACCAAACATCCAGGCAAAAGACAAACCCATAGTTGCAATCAAAACTGCAAAAACAGCTTCTAACTTCCTCACACCATAATTCTCTAGAAACAAAAATAAAAAACTGTTTGCAAACAATTCATTAGCCAAATTTTCAAGAAGAAAGGTAGCCAAAAAAGAAGAAGCAAATGTTCTTGATTTCAAATTGAATCATAGATCTCTAAACCAGTTTAATTTACTGATTTTTTTAGCTTCAAACTTAATTATCTCTACAGATTTAGATCATCTTAGCCAAGTTTTCAAGAACAGAGCAAAAAAAGAGACTTCACCAAATTTTTCTACTAATTTCTGAGCTTCAAACTCAGTTACACTATAACGATTTAGATCATCTTAGCCAAGTTTTCAAGAATAGAGCAAAGAAGAGACTGAAACATACATCCCCAAACCAAGTTTCTCCTGATTTGTGAGTTTGAAAATCAAGAATCTCTAAAGGTGATTTATAAAAGCTACAGATTCAGAGAAAGAAGAAGAAGAAGACTCACCAATCCGACGCCGTAATGACAACGCCGGCCCATAGCGGCAAGACGCCACGGCTGAGAATCTGAATCGCTATTGCACTTCCGATAACCTCTTGAATATCGGCTCCGATAAGAGCAAGCTCCGCCATAGACCAAAGCACATACCTGGCCCAAGTCGGATACTCGTCGCGGCAGAGCTCAGCCAGATGGCGACCGGTGGCGACACCGACTCTAGCGGAGAGCATCTGAATCAACAATCCCATGGCGGTGGCCCACATCAAGAGCCATAGCAGAGAATACCCAGCGATCGCACCGGCTTGTAGATCTCCTTCTAGATTCCCTGGATCTAAGAACGCTATGCTCATCAGGAAACCTGGACCGGTGAACAACCACAGTTTCCGCCACGAGAAAGGAGGTGTGGTGGCATCTCCGTCGGCAGATTCGAAATCGACGATGATGATCTTATCTCTGGATTCGAAGGCGGCCTCGGAATCGGATTCGAATTCTTCCTCGTCAGAATTCGAGGGAAGAGAGTTGGAATGAGGAAGAAGACGGTCAGCTTCCTCGACTTTCTGGTCGACCTTGACGTCATTTTCCATAACCTAGCTGAGCAAGAGAATGGTGAATATTCCGTGAGAGTGAGATCGGAATATTCTCCCGGCGGAGTGAAAGAAGAAAAATTGAAAGTGGAGGTGACGTCGTCGCGGCGTTTGTCGGACCTGTGAAATGAATGGAGGGATGAAACAGGTCGCACCACTCGGGCATCCTTACTTTCATTTGGTTATGTCACACTTTTGGAAATTTAAAAGCATTTCTTTTTCTTATCTTTTCCATACCAAATTTAACTTTATATAATAAGATTGCTTTTCATAAATAAACTGATTTAGGTGTATATGTGTTGGGAATGATTTTCTGGATACCAAAACCAAATCTCCACGTTAGCAAATAGATCTAATCAACAGAAGTCCTATCAAACTTATCATCGTATGAATTCGGCGCTCGAACAAGTAATTAACTTCCTAAAATGCAGGCTTACTCAATTGAGCATGCATAGTTAATAGAAAGTCGGATAGAAGTAGTGAAGTAGTGTATTGAATGTTTGTTCTTTAACCAACTCATGTCCAATAACATTTGAGTTACCCAAGGGGAATTAAATTAAGGTTTGGGTTAATTATGTTAAACCATTAGTCGTATCAGTTATACACGTGATATTGGTTGTTGTAATCGGCCAAGATATACAACTTTATCATCTTCTTGAGGTTACGTTCGAGAACTTTTGAGACTGAGAGAGAGAAAAGTATAATCGGAGATGTTTTGTGGCTCAAGCTTGAGCAGGTGTTAGTGGATTCTGGAGTAAATTTCTGACAAAATGGTTTCGAACTTGTTAAATCTTAGTGTCTCTTTTCTTATTTCTTTTTATTTTTTTTGGATCAATAGAAACTGATGCAAAACAAAGAATCATATAAAATGATATGAGAGTCTAAAATTAGGTTTCAGCGAATCACGAGCTGAACGATTTAAGAAGATTGATTCAAGATGTCGACTTCGACGAAAATAGAGAAGTTCGATTACAACAACGACTTTCTCGATGTGGAGATAAAGGATGTATGCTCATCTGAACATATGAGGTTTAAAGGATGTTCTTATTGACATCGCAGGGAGCTCGACTCCGAGTGAATCTTTGGTGGTTCAGACGGTGGCTACAGTCACTATTCCGACTACAGCAACTCTTACGCTAACGGCTCATCTATCCGCGGTGATTGCTCCATCGATTTCAGGAACATCACAAGATTTTGAAAAGGTGAAGGTTGAGCAAGATCCGCTCAGAGCCGAGCGATGCGAAAGGACGTTACACATGATTTTTATCATTATGACAGATTAAGTCCTGAGGAAGAGTGGTGCGAGACGGCTGGTGCCGCATGGACGCTATTGGAGAAGCTTTACATGTCGAGATCGTTACCAAACCACGTACATGTGCAGCTCCACTTACACAGTTTCAAGATGCAGGATCATCGCGTGATCGATGAAAACGTGGATGATTTCTTGAAGCTAGTTGCAGAACTTAGCCATATACGGATAGAAGTTCCCAAAGAAGTACAAGCCATTCTAGAACGCTCTTCCAGCAAAGTATGATCAGCTGAAAGAGACACTAAATTATGGAAGAGAATCCATAATGGTAGAGGAAGTAGTTACGGCCGCGAGGTCTAAGGAGAAAGAGTTTAAGGATAATCCAGCGAAAAATAGGTCTAATGGAGAGGGACATTATGCTAGGGAAAGATCAGATTCAAGGTCCAAGTCTTCAGAGAGGAAGAAAGTTTGCTGGATTTGCGGTAAAGAGGGCCATTACAAGAAGCAGTGATACAAGTGGCTTGAGAGGAACAAGCTTAAGCTTCAATCTCAAGACAGAGGAGAATCTACAATGGCCAGGGACAATGCTCAAGATTTGGCCGGGTTAATTGTTTGTGAGGTGAATATGATGCAAGAATCTGACAAGGATGAGTGGATAATGGACACTGAGTGTTCATTTTATATGACTCCAGTAAAGGACTACTTCTTTGATCTAAAGAAGTTGACTATAGGGAAGGTCAGAATGGCCAACAATTCACATCCAGAGGTCAGGTATATGCCAGAGATTGCAAGGAATCTAATCTCAGTTGGCACTCTAGAGAATAGATGATGTGAATTCAAAGGCACGAATGGAGTAATGAAGGTGATCAGGGCTGCACAATGATGATGAAAGGTGTAAGGAAGGGCAGTGTCACGTTGTACTTTCTGCAAAGTACAGCTAGAAGGTCAGAGGCTTGTGTTAGTCAGGATGAAACATCGGTTCAAGATGAAGAGACAGAGGATCAAACAAGACTTTGGCACAATTGATTAGGCCATGTAGGTCAGAAAAGTCTCGACGTTCTGCTCAAGAAAGGGTGTTTCAGAGACTACAAGATGTCTGAGATAAAATTTTGCGAAGACTGTGTTATTGGCATGACTCATAGAGTAAGCTTTGGTCCGGCTCAACATGTCACTAAGGAACGACTGGACTACATTCACTCAGACTTGTGGGGCTCTCTGAATGTACCCATGAGTCTAGGGAGATGTCAATACTTTGTGTCTGTCACGGATAATTGGTCTAGGAAGGTGTGGCTGTACTTCCTGAAGACCAAGGATGAAGCGTTTCATAAGTTCGTTGAATGGAAAAAGAGGGTAGACGTTCAAATAGAGAGAAATGTTAAGATGCTCCAAACGGACAATGGTTTAGAGTTTTGCAACATCAGGTTTGATCAGTTCTGCAAAGACGAAGGGATTGTGAGGCATCGAACATGTACTTACACTCCACTACAAAACAGAATTGCTGAAAGGCTCAACATATCGATGATGAATAAAGTCAGGAGCATGCTGAGTGAGAGTGGTTTTGATCAGAAGTTTTGGGCAGAGGCGGCTTCAAATGCAGTATATCTGATCAACAGATCTCCATCGTCTGTTCTGAACTTCGAGATTGCTGAGGAGAAAAGGACGTCAGCTACACCAAACTTGACAGGCTTGAAGAGATTTGGTTGTGTTGCCTATGTTCATTCTGATGGAAGGAAGCTGAATCCAAAGGCCAAGAAAGGTATATTCACTGGGTATCCAGATAGAGTCAAGGGATTCAGAGTGTGGTTACTAGACGAACAGAAGTGCATCATCAGCAGAAACATAGTATTTCGGGAGGATCAGATGTATAAAACCATCAAAACCAAAGGCATCATCAGGTAATTTGAATTCTCAAAATTTATCTGACATGTTTGTGAGGAATGATCTTGCAGTAACTAACATGTTCTCAGAAAATGAAAGTCAAGGTGGAGCTTCACAGGAAGAGCTGCAAGAGGAACCGGGTACAAACAGTCAAGATAGAGATGCATAGGACATTGCTGCAGAATCTCCAGGGGTAGATGAAACTCAAGAAGTCAGGGAGCGTCCACGAAGAGAAACAAAATTACATGAGAAGCTGAAGGACTACGTAGTATACCAAGATGATGACGAGATAGCAGGATATGCTTATCTCATGATCGAAGATGGGGCTAATCCAGAACCATGAAGTATTCAAGAGGCTTTCGAGGATCCTGACAATGAGTTATGGTTGAAGGCATTATATGAAGAGATGGCATCATTGATGAAGAACATTACTTGGATCTTAGTTGACAGAGTCAAGTCTCGTAAGCCAATTGGTTGCAAGTGGGTGTTCAAGAGGAAACCAGGAATCAGTGGGGTTAAAGCTCCAAGATTTAAAGTTAGACTCATGGCAAAAGGATACTCACATAAGGAAGGGATAGATTATCAGGAGATATTCTCTCCAGTTGCAAAGCATGTGTCTTTCAGGCTTCTTCTCTCCGCTGTAACACATTACGACATAGTACTTTAACCAATGGACGTGAAAACGGTATTTCTGGACGAGACGATATACATGGAGCAACCAGAAGGGTACGTGGACAAGAATTATCCAGAAAAAGTGTGTCTCCTCAAGAGGTCACTGTACGGGTTGAAGCAGTCACCAAAGTAGTGAAACACAATGTTCGATGAGTTTATGCAAGTCAATGGCTTTTCTTGTAGGCCTAGTCTGTAGATTCATGAGCAAACCCGTGAAGGAACATTAGCAGGCAGTGAAATGGATACTTAGATACGTTAAGGGTTCACTGAAGAGAAAGTTATGCTACATGAAAGAGGGAGACTTCGTCATTAGAGGGTACTGTGGCTCGGACTATGCAGCTAATCAAGACAAAAGGAGGTCTACTACAGGTATTGTCTTCACTGCAGGTGGAACACTATCAGCTGGAAATCGCAGCTGCAGAGAGTGGTTGCTTTGTTGACTACCGAGGCAGAGTACATGGCATTAACAGATGCAGCGCGAGAAGCAGTATGGTTGAAAGGATCGATGAACAAGCTTGGTAATAGCATTCATTATTACACCATATTAGGTGTCATTTAGTATAGTTTTTCACTTCATTCCATCCATTTTAGGTCCTAAATGTCTCATTTCCATCTATATTAGATTTAGCATGCACTTAGCTTAGGATTGCATACATGCTTGCATTTTGAGGAACTAAGGAGATACTAGGAGGATAGAGGACCAAATGGATAAAGGAGACCAAGCTAGAAGAAAGCATTCAGAGCGTTCAGAACCCATATCATGGAGCCACACCGTGGAGGGCACCTTTGTCCCTGTCCGGTGCGTACAATGTTTGAGGGCTATGACGAGATGCTGAACCAAGACTCATACCATGCAACCGCATCGAGGAGGTTCATGCTAACTGAGCCTGGTGCAAGAAGAACATGACGTATCGTGAACCTATACCAAGGAGAGCCTAACACGCCTTGCACTGTGCAAACCAAGGTCGAGATTTCTGCCGAGCCAAACCTGAGACGCAGCTTCTTCGGCACACACCAAGCACATGTACCGTGGAGGGCCCGTTTCTGCTTTGCTTGATATGAGCTATTTTCATATTGTTGACCAAGAGTTGGCTCTGTTGACTAGGTTTATTTTAGTTGACGAAGCCTATTTTGGGTCTCTCTTTAAATAGGCTTGGTCTAAGAACATCTTATCTATGTTATTTTTCTTGTCTTGTAACAT